CAAGCTGAAGCAGGGAACTGCTAAGGCAGCTGCACCCGGTGCAACCATCACAAAGCAAGAGACCCGAGAACTAGAAAGGTGAGGCTTCACCACCTTTCAATTAGCCCCTCCACCTTTCCTCCACCTTTCAATTAGCCCCACATGTGATTATCAGCCAGGCTGGCACAATTAACTAACTCAGGCACCATTCACTATTACCCCTAGTGAGTCACTTGCAAATTTTTTCTTCCTGTCCCTGTGACCCTGTATTCTGAGAGTCTGGTGGTCTTAGTTCCAAAGGGAGGATACTTTCACCTGGAGACACAATACTGATTCCGTTGAACTGGAAGTGAAGAATGCCATGTGACCCCAGGGGTTGCCCGTGCCCCTGGGTCACCAGCTGGTGTGATGGATCCTGATTACCACGGGAAAATAAGACTTATATAATGGAGTTGCAGTAAATGGTGTGGGGGTGGCCACATCGGATCTCCTCTTTCCTCCCTGTTGTCATGAGGGAGAGTCAAACGGCCGCCACCATTCCTTCCGTGGCACTCGACTCCTCGGCGGGCTTTGCTGATTCATTGCAATGACCACACAGGATTCACAGACAACTCACACAATTGTGGGGATTCATTAGGGGAGTTAGCTGGATCATTAAACAGTAAGGATACAGTAATCAATTGATCACAGCAACCCCTCTCCTCAGCCAAGTGTCTCTTCAGTCCTCGGTCACTCAGCCACATGGTCCTTTGGCTTCTGCCTCCATGCACCAGAGCAGGAAGCCAGCTGCTGCTCTGTCTCACCATCTCACAGTCTCAGCACTGTTCCTCTGTTCCATCTGATGGCGTCTTTGCCTCAACCTCTGGTCTGAGCCTCTGCCACTTCAGACAGAGAGCTCGAATGTTCTCTACTTCCAATGGTCCTGGGGTTGCTCTCTTCCTGCCAAGACAGCTCATCCATATAGCCAGGAGAGTGGGCACCTCAAACTGAGCAAACCTCTCTCATAGTGTTACATATGCCCTCTTTGCATAGTCCCACCCAATTATTTGGTGGGAGTTACAAAGACACGTCCAACGATGCATTACATTTGGTAAATCCGCTGTACAAGACATCTTTTAAGGTGCTGAAAAGCAAAGATGTTACCTTGAGGACTAGGGTGCACCTGACCTCAGGCATGCTATTTTCAACCGCCTCTTAGGCGGGTGTAAGTTGGACTGTGAATAAGAAAGGCCAAAGAAGAATCGATGCCTTTGAATCGTGGTGCTGGAGAAGAATATGGAAAGTACCATGGACTTCCGAAAAAACAAATCTGTCTTGGAAAAAAGTAATTAGGAGCTGATACCAAGGGCCCAAGTAGAAAGCCAATGCTTTGAGAATGATGAGGGCAACAAATGTGCAAATATGCTTGACACAATGGATGGATGGATGGATTGTGATAAGAGTTGTACGAGCCCCCAATAAAATGATTAAATAAAAAAACAAAACAAAACAAAAAAAGAAAGAAAAAGTACAATCAGACTTTGTGTCACATACTTTGGACCTGTTATCAGGAGGACAGTCCCTGGAAAAGGACACCATGCTTGGTAGAGGGGCAGCAAAAAAAAGGAAGACCCTGAACGAGATGGATTGGTACACTGGTTGCAACCATGGCCGGCCTTCAACATAGGAACAATTATGAGGCTGGTGCAGGACTAGGCAGTGTTTTCTTCTGTTGTCCCTAGGGTTGCTGTGGGTTGGAGCCAGCTCGACGGCACCTGGAAACCACCACCACCCCCAGCACCAGCAGCAGGAGCAGAGCTATGGATAGAAGAGCCGTATCACGAAGTTTCCCTCCACCACAGGAGTCAAGAAGAGTATGTCTGGAATACAGGACATTGCTTTGGATGTCTCTTATCACTACCAGGCCCTGTAATTGAAATCAGTAGAAAGTATTGTAACCCAGTTCTGATGTGACTATTAATGGCACCGACCCATCAGGAATGGAAGTTTGGGGCACTCCACCAGGCAAAGAGGTGCTGGCTGAGGGCAAAGACTACCAAACGAGTGAGGAAGGATGGCCGCTAGGACCATGAGATCAGCTGCAGAAAAGAAGACTGTATGTGTGCATATTTCTGTTTCTTCACTTACAAAATGTAAGATGTAAGCGGAGCTAGTGCTTCATCAGTTGTATGCATGCTTTTTGTACCATGGTTGGCACAAGTATTATTTTATAATTGTTTTTATTTAGAGATTATGTGTGATTTAAGATGTGTACAGGTTCCAAATTGTCAAAAGGTGCAGGGTGACGTTGTGTGTCAACCTGGCTGAGCCATGATTTTCTGGTTTAGCAGATGGGATGGGATATATTATGAATATTTCTATGATGAAATCTGCTATTAGCAGCCAATCAGCTGAAAGGGAGTCTTTTGTTTTTTTGAAAGGGAGTTTTATTTGGAGGTGTGGCCTACATCAAATATAAATGAATGTTCTGGCAAAGTTTTCTAGCTTTTTGCTTAACCTGCATCAGTATCTGGCTCATCACTATCTGACTTCCAGTTCTTTGGACTTGAACCAACAGCCTGCCACATTGCCTTCCAATCTTGGGACTCCTTAGCTTCTGCAGCCTGTAAGTCAGGAGCCTGACATCTTACCTGCCGATCTTGAATTCTTTAGCTGCTGCAGCTATGCAAACCATGAGAAGTCTTCAGCCTGATATCTGACCCATGAATTTGGAACTTTCTAGCTTCTAATGGTGTGAGCCATTTCTTGAGACAAGTCTCTTTGTGTGCACACACACACACACACACACACACACACACACACACAAGCATCACTGGTTTAATTTCTCTAGAGAACCCAAGATAGCCCTCAAAGTAGAAGGTGAACTCATTAGGAAACTTCTTTAAAAATACTTATTTATTTTATTCAGCGGGAACACTTTATTACATACATACATATATTTCAGGGCACATATATACATTTATATCTAGAAACATTGTCACTATGTATTAGCTTTAGGCAGAAGGCTGGTGAGTCAGTGAGGGATGGTGGTTGGAAGCACTCCTCAATTATCTTTATAATTTTATTCTGTTTGAATTTGGGTAAAGTTCAGGAATACTTTCTCCAAGGTGTTATGACTAATGGAATAGGCTTCTAATCCACATTTATCTTTGATTGACTCTAAGATATCAAAGACCTGCAGGGCAGCAGAAGAAATCACTGTTATCCAAGCTCCTCAGAGGGAAAGCCGAGGAAACGTGGGATTGGTGGGAAGGGGAGAGAGAAAGCTCTGCTTATCTTCCTGTGTATGACCTGGGAAACTCCCTAGGAAGCTAATAAACCCCAAATTTGACAAAGATGCTAGGAAAAGTTTGCCCTTCTATTCTTCTGCCAATATCACTATCCCAGGATACTGTAAACCTACACACTTCAGACCTGCTGAAACAGAAGTCACCCATCTATGCATTCAAATAAGAAATAGTTCCTAATGGGCCCAAATGATTGGAGACTAAGATACAGTTGATAAAAATCACTGCACTGAGAGCTGGGAAGAAACTACGTGGACTTTACAAATCATCTCTTGAAGAGAAGACTGTATTTCAGAACCAAGCTTGACTAAAATCTCAGCCATCTGAATATGAATATATGGTATCTGTGTTCAACTCTAAAAATCAAATACTGTATCTATAGTTCAGGACAGCCTGGTACCACACTCACCTTTCCCAAGGTAAGGCTCTCGCTGGGTATATGGTAATGGACTGTCCTCTGGCATTCGTGCATTAGGGAACTCTCTGAGAAAGGGAAAGATTTTATGAGAGATAGCATAGAACAACACACCCCAGGTGGCACCGTGACTAAATGCTTGACTTATCACCAGAAGATTGGCGGTTCAAACACATTAGTACTCCATGGAAGAAAGATGTGGCAGTCTTCTCTAAAGAGTAACAGTCTTGGAAACCCTATGGGGCAATTGCACTGGGTCCTATAGGGCTGTGATGAGTTGGAATGGACTCACCAATAGTGGCAAAGTGGTGGATCCAGGTCCATTTTCTGGCACCTGTGTTTTCATACCAAAGCAAAGGATAGAGTCCATTCAAAAGAGGATAAATCAAAAGCACTGTGGGGATATAATAAACCATAGGTGCCAGAAATAAAACATACAAGTACAATGAAATACTACATGCCATGTGATTATATAATGATGTTGGAGGAGCCAAGCAGAACAGGTCAGAAAAGGTTACAATTAGAAAATAACAATATTCAAGCTGATATTTCAGAATTATTAAGCAGAAGTTAGTTGTGAATGAGTGTTGGGTGGGGGTGGGGACAAAGAAGAGAAGCGCTTCCCATTGCTTTTTGGATAAAAATCTAACTTCCATGGGGTACAAAGGTCTTGACCCAACCCTTTTCTATCACTCTCCTCTGACTTGAGAGTGTAGAAGGGACATTGGAGAGCAAAGCAAGACTGACTTCTGGGGGACAGTTTTCTTGGCAGGAAGTTGCAATAATCAAAGATAATTCTCCAAAGAGCAGGCATTCGTGGTATATGGAGAGACAATTTCTATATGTTCACAGAAACTAGACTGAGTGTCTTGTCTCACGTGGCCCTTTCTTATCAAGGCCCACACAGCTTAAAAGGTTTTAAGACAAGATTCAATCAGAAACTCTCCTCTAGGGCAGGCTCTCGGGATATTTTCCGCTGCAACTCCACATGACAGGCAAAGCCAGAGCGAATGCAGGACTGTGAACTATTTTACCATATGCTCAGAGAGTCATGAGGACCTGCAGGTTGACCATGCCTGAGTTAGAGTGTTCTGTTGTTTATGTAGCGAGAACAATTTCATTTTGGAGATGTTTATTTGGTGGTTGTATGCATGAGTACATGCCTGATAAAAAACCATTCTGCCTAACAAAAGAGAAGAGGGCTGTCCATGCTAGGTAGCATTCCTGGAGCATACCTTGGCCAGCGAGCATGGAAACCTCATAAAAATTGGGATGAGTAATCAGCGCATAGCTAATTAAGAATTGTTCTGTGGTACTAATTAAGAGTCACAGGGACAAGAAACTATTGCAATTGGTTCCTGATGAGGAAATGCTTCTGAGAATATCACTTTCTCTTATTTCTTCATAATTTGGAGTAGAAAGCTTGGGAACACAGGGCCCCAAAAGAAGCTGGATTGGGAGGGTTTCATCTAAGCTTTAGTACCTGGAAAGGTTGTTTGGATGAACATCTTTAACTCTTGAAGTCCCTCCAGTGCCTTGTTCCTCTTGATTTTGGCTAGTAGCTTAAATCTACTTCCAAACTTGTTCTTGAGATACTGTGGACTGCCCAGGCACTTCAATTTCCCATTTTCCATAAAGGCTAGTCTTGTGCACAAAGCTTCACATTCTTCCATACTGGGAAAATAAGGAGCAAAAGAGGCGAGGCACAGGAAATGTCCACCATGGGGAGGACATCAATGGAGGCAGCAAAGACCTGATAGGACTGGGATTCAGCGTCCACGTGAGGCTCAGGGGACAGAGGTATTCTGCTGTAGTCAAAACGGAAACCAAGTGCTCTATCCCTAAATATGCAATAAGATTTAGCTTCAACCTATTTCTACTTCCCCACTCTTGGACAGAGTGCTCTAGAAATCTCATTTAAGCACTGTAGGGTATTCTGGTCAGAACCAAAGACTGTGTTTCCTCGAGGGAGATTAACAGACCCTGGTCAAGTTATTGCTGACATTTATTCTTAGATATAACCAAGTACTCTTGGCACTGAGTGTAACTCCCCCCCACCCCTTCAATAAAGATATGAGGCACACCTATAGGGGATTATGACAATGGCCTTGCAGGACTCACGGATCCGTGAGATCATGTCCCAGAGGAAGCGTTGGGCCACAGAATCCATGCTGGAGGATGGCTTATTCAAGAAGATGATGTCCGGCCTTCCCAGCAGGGCAATACATGTGCTTAGCTTACGCTTGGTGCCACTGCTATATGGGTGAGGTGTAATGAGAAAGGGGGCAAGAAAGAGAGGTGAGTATAAATTATATGAATTCCTACATGTATCCCAAATGCTGAGAAGCATATACATATGACAGAATGTGTCCTACACTTGTTCCTAGAAGTATTTCAAAATATGTTTTTTTAAAGAAAATCATAATTATCATATGAGGGGGTTTCAAAAAATTCATGGAAAATATAAGTTTAAACGATCATGGAACCTTTCCATTAATTGGTGAAACCCCCTCCTATAGTGCTGCTGTGAGTTGGAAGTAACTCAAAAGCTTTCGATGACATCAATATATATTCAAGTTCAAAGCCATCAGCAGCATCAGGGAGAAAGCTAAGGATCTCTCCTTACATAGTTACACATGTATTTATTTATAATAATGTACATGATATATATACACACATTTGTGTTTATATATACATATATAGCATATTTATCTAGGTCAGGGGTGTCAAATTGGTGGCCCACGCGTGGGCTGCATGCGGCCCCCGAGGTAATCTTTTGTGACCCACGATGCTCTGAAATAAAACATAACGAGGGAATTGTGTGTAGTCTTGCCTCGATCTCCCCTAAGCGCTATTTTCTTCATAACAATAGTTTCTATTTTCACTTTATTTCAGTTTGACACCCCTGATCTAGGCCATGTATGAGGGTAAGTAAAAAAGCATTTCTATTAGGATTTCAGTTGATATACACTCAGATCTATACGAAACAGAACATGCTTAAACATGTCTCTGCAATCGCAGATGGCTGCAGCACATTCTCTCCGCAACACAGTGAGCTCAGTGTCCTCAGTGCATTTTCGAAATTAAGACGCAACTCAAACCGTGGCTTCCCAAGGGGATCTTTCAGACTTACTAAAGTCAAAGCAGAGAGGTCAGTTCAGAAAGTTCTGGCAACTGATTTCTGGGATTCCAAAATTGTCATCTGGACACATGTTCTTGAAGAACTTAGGGCCACCACAGGGACTTCTTATTCAGTTTAAAGAAAACTGAAACACAGATCGATGTGATAAAAGGTCCAGAGAATCGTGCCAAGGATGTTCTGGTAGCAGGACTACGCATATGCTCTAGCAGGACTACGCATATGCTCATTCACCGAGGGAAGCCTGCGGTACTACCAGTACTTCATTGGCAAATGCTACCTGATCCACCTTACAGTCCTCCACACCTCTTTTTTGTCCCCCAAGGAACATAGAAAAGAAACGCAATTGGAATCCCTCCAGGGTGCCAAGTTGCCATTTGGGTGCGGTGCAACTCTAGGAGTGGGGGCTTCTTTAGGAAAGCATCAGAGAGATGAAGACACATTGCTTCCACAAGTGCACAGACCTGGACTGAGGATGTGCTACGAGACAAGAGCTTCACATTTTGATGTTTCTGTTTGACTAACCCTTGTTGCTCCTTGTTGGCAAACAAGAAAAGGAGTCCCGGAAGCATCGCCACATGTTGCACTCTTTCAAGGCATTTTGCATGAGGATTCAACCTTTGTCTAATTTTCTAAGGATGTTTCTCCTGGTGATCAGATCGTGTTAACTATGTGTCTAGGCATCACTGATTTTGGTAAAAACAAACAGGCAAACAAAAACATCCATGAGTACCCAGACTGGGAGAAGAGAGCCTGGCGATGCAAGGGTTACTACAAGTTTGAAGTGGGTCATTAGTTGGAACCGACCGGCTTCTCTGTGGATGAAAGATGAAGCTTTTTGTTGCCATAAAGGTTTACAGCCTCAGAAACCCAAACAGGCAGTTCTACCCTCCCTATCAGGTCACTGTGAGTCAGAATGGACTCAATGGGAGTTGGTGAGTGAGTGAGCGAGCGAGCGAGCGAACGAGTGAGTGAGTGAGTGAGTGAGTGAGTGAGTGAGTGAGACTGGGAGAACTAGAAACACCTAACAAGCGAAGGAGGAAACCACACCTAGCCCATGTAGGTTTGCTCTTGCTTCTGAGTTATGCTTCCAAGACTCTTGCAAAAGAGCAGCATCTGCCGGCATGCGGCATTGCCTGCCCTCTATCTTTCTGAATAGACTGGTGCCAAACATGGCTTAGGATTGTCTTACAAGTTAAATGTTGAAGCTATGATGCCAAGAACCACAGAAGCCTTCGGAAATGCACTTTCAAAAAGGGTGCCGCATATAGATGGGAGCCATGCAGTTAGAGCAATTCTACTAGGTGGGTGGTCTGAGTGGATCAGCAAAGCCCCTTGAACCGAGGCCACCACTTGTCTGTCAGTTTGTTGTCCTGCGGTGGCTTGCATGCTGCTGTCATGCTGGAAGCCATGCCACCAGTATTTCCAACACCAGTCAAGTCCCCCAGGGTGAACAGGTTTCGGCAGAGCTTCCGTACTTAGAAGACTATCTAGGAAGAAGGACGAGGCTGCCCACTTCTGAGGGATTAGCCATCGAAATCCTTATGAATAGCAGTGAAGCATTGTCAGATATTGTGCCAGAAGATGAGCCCCCGGCTGGAAGGCAACAATGGGCTCAGATGTAACAATTTTGAGTATGGCAGAGGTCTTGGCGGTGTTTTTTTCTGCCACATACAAGGTCATTATGAGTCAGCACTGATTTGATGGCACCTAGTAACAACAACAACAACAACAACAACAACAACAACAACAACTTTAACTAAGGAGACACCTCATCCTGCTCTAGAACAAGCTCTTCTTCCTCAAATTGAAAGGGTGAAGACTAACTGTGCTAGTAAGGTTTTACCTGAAGTTCATGATGAGTTCATCTTCAAAGGCACCCAGGGAGAGTGTGCTTAGCATATTTTTAATATAAGCAGGAAGACAGGGCTCAGGAACTCCCCACAGACGGGCATGTAAGGCCAGCATCTCATACCCTGTCAAATGTTCCAGTAAAGGGTCATGTTGAGGGCAGTAGCTGATTCCTTGATGAACCTGCAACAAGGAAACATCGAGGAGTAAAAGAACCCAAATTAAGGGGGCTGGATTGAAAGTGTATTGAGGGTTATTTGAGAGACAAAGAACGTAGACGGAGGCTCTCTTCTGTTTACCAGGATTTGCTTCCTACCACTGCTTCCCTTTGCCACTACAGCTAATGTGCCCTGGCACATTAGTAGGGATTGCTAGAGTCAAACTTCGATTAAAAATCAGCTCAATTCTAAGACATTTATTGAGCTCACATGCTATATAATATTATTATAATTATAATATTTATGGGAAGAACTTGTCTACTGGTTGGACACACACACACACACACACACACACACAGCTTCCAAATGAGTGGGACAATCAGTCAATGTGATGGAAGAGAAATGAAGTTATAACGAAGGGTTTTCACACTGAAACGGCATACTTAACAGCTTCAATGGAGACGGATTTCAAATGAATACTTAAAAATAAAAGAACTTTTAAATAAACATTCAAAACTGAAGTGCCCTGCCTTTCTTAGAGTATATACATTTCTGTTGTAGCATGGGATCGATCCGAGGACAGCAAAACTCCAAAACCTACAGGATGTTGGCAGGTCAAACAGAGACGTGGAGTAGCCAGGTGGAATTCAGAAAGTGGTGGAGTCTGTGATCAAGTAAAAAGGAAACACCGATCAGGTGAGGTAGTTACCAAGTAGCCTGAGCCAACTGTTGTCCTGCGGGAATTCTGATCTGGTCCTGCCAAGCCCTCTCAGTTTTAAAAGAGAAGCCCAAATTCCTTGTATGTGTAATGTCCTGATCTATACATAAGCCCATCTCACTCTATAACCTACCTGCACACCTTTGGCTAGTTTGTGACTTCCCACTTGACAAATTCTCGGTGGAAGATTAAAACTCCGGGTGGATGATTTGACTTTCCAAGTTGTACAGACCTTCTGAAGCTGACATTTACTAGTATAATAGCCACACAAACACTGGAGGAAACGGATTCTATAGAGCCACTTAAAGACAAGTTACTTTTAGGGTTAATAACTAGGGAATAACTGATGAAACACAGAATCTACAGTAAAAGACCTTATCTAGAAATACCAACATTTCTCGTGACAAGTGCCAATAGAAGAGAGTTAGTCCCACAGTGATTTCCCCCACTTTCCCCATTGTAAGCATGTAGGAAATCTCCTGTTTTTACTTATGGGTAGGAGCATCACTTGTGTACTCTACAGTGACCATGCTGACTCAAAGGGAACTTAAACAAGTGCTCCTTGCACAAGACTTAGAGAGAGAGAAATATATTTGATTTGCTTAGAGATATAAATCACCCTTTCAATCCTTTTGTTTCAGAAATAAAGGAGCCTCTGGAGAGTAAGGATGAGAGAGGAAAGATATTAGAAGCTCTACCTCTAAATGTTAGGCTTCTCATTACTGCTCTTCTAATGTCTTATAAAAATAAAACCAAATCTTACTCTTTTGAGGATAGATTATATTCATCCTCTAATTCTCCTTGCATTGCCATTTATTGGCCCACATTCAACAAGATACCTCCGTTTCCCCCTTTCTTCCAAATTCCATCTTGGACTGCTTCTGAGGTGATGTGGACTCATCTTTCCTTGCCCGAGCCACCAAAGATTTTTGACCACTTCAACACTAATAGTCTATATGCCCTCTCTACCTCAACGCCCTTTCCTCCTTATCACACGAACTGCTCTAGCTTTGAGTGCACTCTTTGGTTTTATTATTCCCGCCTGCTCCTATTTCTTTGACTATACGCGTTTGTGCACCTCTTTTCCTTTGCACTGTTTTCATTTACCCCGGAAGGGTTAGATTGTCCCTTCACGCATCACCTTCCACCCGATGGCCAAGGCCTATTTATGAAAACCCTGGCCCAAACTCTCGCCTACGGGCTTTCCCTAACTCCTTCATGTAACAGATCAGATGTCAGTTCTCTCTGTGCTCTGTAGCATACCCTGCCTCTCTACCAGAAAACGGGCCAGATAACATTAAAATTGTATTTCTTTTCTTCATCTGTCTCTTCCAGAAGGGTGGGATGTCATTGATTGCAAGGAAAATGCTTTTCAACTTTGCTATCTCAGCAACAAGGAGACTGCCAGGAACAGAATTCACGCTTACTGAACTTGCTGAATGAACTAGGGGTAGGGGAAAAATAGTCCTGTGGAGGATGATGCTTTCAGATACAGAAGTCCTCTAGTGAAAGGTGATAAAATTAGCCTGTTGTTAGGTGCCATTGAGTTGGTTGCCATTGACAGTGACCCCAGGTACTAGTATAAAAGAACAAAGTAGTGCTCAGTCCTGCAAGAGTAGCCCTAATCCCAGTGAAGCATATTTGGCCCAACTGGTGCAGTCATTCTGTAAGTCTGTCTTGGTTCGTGTCTTCCTCTTTTGTTGCCGATCCTCACTTTACCGAGAATGAGGCCCTTCTCTAGAGACGGATCCCTCCCGTTGACATCTCTAAAGGAAATGAGATGAAGTTTTGCCATCCTCGCTTCTAAAGCACAAGATAGATTTGGGTTTTTTTTGGGAAGTTCATGATAGATTCACTATTCTTCACCAGCACTATAACTCAAATGCACCGTCAACCCTTCAGTCTTCCTTATTCGATGTCCAACTTTCATATGGATATGAGGGAACGGAATATTCCATGGCTTGGGTCAGGCACACCTTACTCCTTCTTGCTTTTCAATACCCTAAAGAGGTCTTGTGCAGCAGATTTACCTAACGCAGTGCATCACTTGATCTCTTGACTGTTGTTTCCATGAGCATTTGATTTGTGGACCCAGGCAATGCAAAACTCTTGACTTTTTCCCATTTATTATGATGTTACTTATTGGTTCAGCTGTGAGGATTTTGGTCTGTGTATTGAGTCACACATAATCCTACTGAAGTCTGCAACCCTTGATGTTAATTAGCAATTGCTTCAAGTCCTTCTCACTTTCAGCAAGCAGGGTTGTATCATCTGCATATCATGGGTTGTTAATAAAACTTCCTCCAATCTTGACGCCACATTCTTTTTCATATAAACAAATTTCTCTGATTATCAGCATACAGATTGATTATTTCATTCTGTTGTGCATAAGGTCATTCTGTTTGGAGTGACTCGATGGCACTTAACAAAAACAACAACATACAGATGGAACAAGTGTCATGAGAGGATACAACCCTGACACACACCTTTCCTGATTTTAAACTACGCAGTATGCTCTTGTTCTGTTTGTACAACTGCCTTTTGATTCATGTACAAGTACAGCAGGAGTACAATGAAGTGTTCTGGAGCCCCCATTCTTCTCAAGGTTATATCGTTTCTATAGTCCACTCAGTCGGATGCCTTTGCATAGGCATTAAAACAGGGAAACATCTTTCTAGAGATCTCTGCTTTCAGCCAAAATCCCTCTGACATCAGCAGTGATATCCCTTGTTCCAGGTCCTTTTCTGAATCCAGGCAGAACCTCTGGAAGTTCCCTGTCAGTGTACTGCTGTGATCATTGTTGATGATCTTCAGCAAAATTGTACTTGCATCTGATATCTGATATGATTCTATAGTTTGAGCATTCACCTTTCTTTGGAATGGGCACAAAGATGAACCTCTTTCTGTTGGTTGGCCAGGTGCCTCTCTTTCAAATTAACTGGCAAAGACTAGTGAGTGCTTCCGTACTCCATTAGCTTATTTCACTTGGTACTGCAACAATCCTTGGAGTCTTGTTTTGGGCTAATGCTTTCAATGGAGCTTGAACTTCTTCCTTCAGCACCCTTGGTTCTTGTTCATATGCCACTGAGATAGTTAAGGTTTATTGTGCCGACCTGGCTGTTAAACACACGTGGGATTAATTGAAGGACAGAGAAATAAATGGGCCTCAGTGAGCTTTGCCTTCCTACTTCTTGGGTCTCTTGCTCTTTGATGGTCAGACCAAGGTGCAGCTGCCTTAGCCAGTTCCCTGCTTCAGCTGTCAAGGCTCACGTCCTTGAGGACATCCCTGAGAAGAAGCCACATGGAGACCTCTGCCAGCGCTGAGAGGCTTACATGCTCACTGATTCAGCTTTCCTCCTGAAGTTGGCGTCATAGCTTGTGTTTTGTGAGATTGAGGAGGACTTTGTAGACTGGTGTCAGACATATGGGCTGATGTTGGATTTAAGGGCTTGGACAGCACTGGGTTGGGATGCTTTCTTAATGTACACTTACCCTTTATATAAAATTCTCTCTTATATACATATGAGTTTCTGTGGATTTATTTCCCTAGTTTACCCAGACCAACACAGCCACCTCCTGAAATGGTGGAATATCAACTAGTTCTTTTTGGTACAGTGACTGTGTATTCTTTCCATCTTCTTTAGATGCTTCTGCGTCATTCAATAGTTTGCCCTTAGAATCCTTCAATATTGTAACTCAACATTTGGCTTTTTCTTGAGTTCTTTCAGTTTAAGATATGATCAATGTGTTCCTTTTGGTTTTCTAACTCTAGGTCTTAACATTTCATTATAATATTTTGTCTTCTTGAGCTTCCCTTTGAAATTTTCTATTCAGCTCTTTGACTTTACCAGTTCTTCCATTTGCTTTAGCTACTGTACAATTAAGAGCAAGTTTCAGAGTCTCTTGTTTCTTTCTTTTCTGTCTTTTCAATAACTTTTTGCTTTCTTCATGAATGATATCCTTGATGCCCTCCCTCAGCTCATCAACTCTTCTGTAATTAGTACTCAATGCATCAAATCTCTTCTTGAGATGTTCTAAAGGTTGTATTTTGGTTCTCGTGGAATTGTTTTTAATTTTTTTCAGTTTTAACCTGAACTTACTGTGTTAGTCTGGGTTGACTAGAGAAACAAATTCATAGACACTCATATGTATATAAGAAAGAGCAATTGAATATGGAGAAAACATCCCAGCCCAGTCCAGAGCAAATCCACAAGTCTGATATTAGCCCATATTTCCGATACCAATCTATAATGTCCTCTTCAGACTCATGAACACATGCAATGATGCCGAATACAGGAAGATCACAGGCCAGTTGGTGGAAAGTCTTGTGGACCCAGTGGCGGTGTAAGCATCTCAGTGGTGGCATGGGTCTCCATGTGGCTCTAGCCTAGCTCCCGGTGTCTTGTCAACAGAATAGTCTAGCAGGGAGTGAGTGTCCCACCTCCAACGAACTATTTATCTCTTCAGTGGCTCCAAATGAGGTCATCAAGCTGCGATCTGATTGACAGGCTAAACTCCACCCCTTCACTCTTATGTCTCAAGTTGACAACAGATTATGCACCCATCACACTTACATATGAGCAATTGATGGTCTGTTTTATAACCAGCCCCTGGCCTGGTTTTAGCAGCTCATATTGAGTTTCTCCATTTTGTCTTCCCACAGATGTAGTCAACTTGAGTTTTGTGCATTCCACCTGGAGAAGTCTACATACATGTATCATCACCTTTTGTGTTGTGGAAAAAATATTTGCTATGAAAAAGTCGCTGATATAGCAAAATTCTATCATGCGTTTTCCATCGCCATTTCTACCACTAAGTCCATATTTTCCAACTATTCAGAAGTTCAGACTGGATTCAGCAGCTATGGAACAAGAGATATCATACGATTTAATGGTTCACTTATATAAAGAGTTGTACAATCATCACCACAGCCAATTTGAAAACAATTTCTTCTTTCTTGTTGTTGTTGTTATGTGTCATTGAGTAGGCTGTCACCCATAGTGACCCTAGACACTATGAGCAGCAGAACAAACACGACACAGTCCTTCTTGTGCCAGCCTTACAATTGTTCCCATGCTGAACCCATGGATATAACTATTATGTCAATCCATCTCATTGAGGGCCTTCCTCTTTCTCATTGCCTTTCCAGTTTACCAAACATGATGTCCTTCTCCAGGGTCTGGTCTCTCCTAACAACACATCCAAAGTATGGAAATGAAGTCTTGCCATCCTTTCCCCCAAGGAGCACTCTGGCCGTACTTCTTCCAACACAGATTGGTTAGTCCTTTTAGCAATCCATGGTCTTTCTTGTACTTATGGTTGCTAGCTTTCCATTTTCCCCCAGTCTCCCCTGCTGTATCCCCAAGAGACCCCTACTTCAGTTCCTGACCTTGTAGATTTACCTACCTTGGATTTCATATACAGAAAGACATACAAAAACAACAACCACATAAACCAAAGAACAAAGTAAAAGAGACAAACCTCAAACAAAAAGAAAGGAAATCTTAAAAATTAGAACAAATGTAAAATGGGTGAACAGGAGATCATGGATGTTTTCTTCTAGGATTGTTTGAGTATTATTTTCTCTTTTTTGGGGGGTGGGGTGGAGGGGTTTCTTCAAGTTCTGGAATCCAATGAAGATAAGTTGTTCCTATTGATAGTGTCCTACATAATTCTTAGGCTTTCTTCTGATTCCTTTGCTTTTCTCATTGATTATTGCTCTGGTAATTGGAGTCAAGAGCTCACTAATTCAGCTTTCCATTTCTTCAATTCTATTATGCTGTTCGTTTAAAGCAGTGGTTCTCAACCTGTGGGTCACGACCCCTTTGGGGGTTGAACGACCCTTTCTCAGGGGTTGCCGGATTCATAACAGTAGCAAAATTAGTTATGAAGCAGCAATGAAAATAATTTTATGGTTGGGGGCGTGGAGGTTCACCACAACATGAGGAACTGAAAGGGTCGCGACATTAGGAAGGCATTAGGAAGGAAAGTGTTATGCAATTCTGCTATCTTAGTATTAATCTTCCGAGTTTCTATATGGTGCTTTTAGTGTAAATGACAGGTTTCTAGATTAGGGATAAAGGGGATCGTCTCCATCAAATGCCGACACTCAATGAAAATTAGCTGTTCATACCAAGATAAAAGGGGTTGGAAAGACATCAGGCACATTAGTTAGACACCTACTGGAAAATCAGAACTGAGCATGCTCAGAACCAAGTCACCTAGTTCTAGGTGGGAGGTCCACCTGCGCACACAGAGTAGGCACCAGCTACATGACATCACACAGGTGCGCCTAAACTCAGCCAATAAGATTGGCCAACCCTCAACCATGCCTCCCCTGACAGTGGGGATAGGAGGGGATAGATAATCCAGGTTGAGGGCAGGGCCTGCTCTTTCAGGTGCGCTCTGCAAGTGGACGGTGAGAATCCCTCTTGAGGCCGCATTCTCTTGGCCTCTTGGGAATTCTTGCTCTTGGTTCCACGCAATGGTTCTGGGCTTCTATTCCCATATTCCTTACATTCCGTGCTCCCCTGAAAGGGCCATTTTCAGTCAAGAAGTTTCCCATGTCTCCCAGGTGCAGCTTTGCACACTTTCCAGAAATAACGTGTTCTTTTTGAGACTGTAATACCTGAAACTTCCCCTTCCCTCATAAAAGTTACTTGGATTTACAAAAGTGCTTCAGCTGTGTGAAGTCTTTCAGCCTTACGAAGCAAGAACTCAGGTGTACCATCCCAGAAACCTAACCTCCGGTTCATAGTTTTCCTATTATTTTCATTGTTCTCTTGAACTCTTTCTCCATCCTTTGAAGGTACTCATTCATCATTCTTCTGAATTATTTTTCTGGTTGTTCCAGATCCATTTTCTCTTCAGCAAATTCTTTTGGATATGGCGGTGTTCATTTGTCTGTGTCTACTTTTTCTTTCTTTCTTTTTTCCCCATGAGGACCAGTATTTTCTGCTGTCTCTGCAACATCTTTAGGCAGATTCTAAGAGTAGTAAGGAGGCTGGGTTAGTTTGCTCTATCAAGTAGCTCTGGGTAAAATTTCTGCCTTTCCTGTGACCCATACAATGGATGCCTTAACACATTAGTGCGAACTCCAATGGGACTCTAGTTGAAAAGAATGGAAGCATTCCTCTTTGAATTCTATTGAATGGATAGCACCTTACCTGTCCTATGTTTTTGTCACCAAATATGACCTCTCCAGAGGTGATGATGCTGTCTCCAGTCAACATTTTGAAGATGCTGTTTTTCCCAGCTCCACTTAAGCCAAGTAGCCCAAAGCACTCTCCTTTCTCAACTGTCAGTGTGAATCTATCTACTGCCACAAGAGGCACTGGTTGAAAATATATCTAAGGAAGCAAACAGGAATAAAAATTACTTAAGTCTGGCACAGTATCCACAAACCGCATCCTTAGTTTCTGGGACAGCCACCCTCTAAGCCTAGTACTTTCTCCACCCCCAAACAGGAAAAGGGATAGATTATACTAAATCAGTAAGTTCTCTAATAAAAAAAGCCACAACTATTCTATTGACTGTACCTTTAAGAGTTCTTTAAGGATCAGAGGACTGTTTAAGGATGATAGTTTCTCTGGGGTGCACTTTAGGACTCTTTTTCTTTCATGTACTAAACTTTCATCATCCGACTCCAACGATGACTGATGGCCAACTTGTGCCTACATTTCCAAGACAAAGGTCACAACTATTCATCCTATTTGGGTAGAACTGATTTAACTATTTGTTCCTGGTAAGCAGTGGCTAGGATGCACAATAGTTTCAGGGGACTATAAATATGTTTTTTTTCCAGTTCTCAGTCAGAAAAAGAATATAATTAAGCTTGAATTTTATCTGGTTTTACATTGTACACATGCACATCTATTATTGGAATAATATTATACACATATAAATGTGTATATATGTGTGTCTATAGGAGGACTCTGAGTTAGTGCACCCAGTGGCGTCACCTGGGAAGATTCTCTCTGGTCACAGTGGATTTTTCATAAAAGCAGTTTCACTCAAACCTCGCTTTTTGTGATGGCCAATTCAAGAGAGAAGTGTGCAGCTGTGAAATTTTGTCTCCTGCTTGGGAAAAATGCCACATGAACTGTTGTGATGTTGAACATTGCTTCCAAGGACGGCACTATGGGAAAAACTCAAGTGTATGAGGTTCAGAAAAGATTGTATAAGTAACAGTGTGTGACAAAAAAAGGCCTGATTTGTGGCAGACAGGGGACTGGTTTTGCATCTACTCATACAACCATCTCAGTGTGCCAGTTTGTGGCAAAACAGCATGCCTCTCTTGCCCCCCCCCCCACCTTACTCCCCTGACCTTGCTCTCTGCAACTTCTTTTTGTCTCTGCGAGTGCAGAGGGGCATGAAAGGACAGAGGCTTGAGGAGTAGAAGAGGTGAAGAAAAAAATGAGGAGGTGCTATCAGCCATTCAAACAGATGAGCTTAAAAAATGTTTCCAAGAATGGAATCACAGATTTGAAAAATGTATTAAGTGTAATGGAGAGTACTTTGAAGGCAATAAGGTTGTTTTGTTAAAAAAATTAAATTCATAGATTTGGAGGGAAAAAATGTGGGTTTTTTGGGTACCACCTTGTACATATATGCATTATTGGAAGAAGAAGCCCACAAAGGCAAACATTTCTAAGGATCCATGAAAGTCAGACTGTAGCTCTGACTTTAAGCACCTATCCCATTTTGTCTCCAGACTAGAAATCAACAGGGACGTTAAGTGAGGGGAGGTGCATCTTCTGAGGCTGTAAGATAGAAGTTTTTAGAAGGACTTCAGGATCTGTTTCCTACTTAACATTCTAGCTCTCCCACCCCCTTATCTTCCATTGTTTTATTGTCATAATAGAAAATTTAAAGGATAGGTGATCCAATCAATCAGTCTTAAAAAATGATTTGTAGGTTTTCTCCATGTATTCTTTTATTCACTTTATAGTTTATGTTTAAATCACAAGTCAATTTGGAATTTAATGTGGCATGATTATCTATAAAAGGTTTGGAATATTAAGGTTATAAAACCGTTTAAAGTTACTTGCATTTTCTAGGAAGAGAGATCTAAAACAAAGCTAGATGTATACGGGAAGCACTTTTTGAATGATCAGAAAAAAAATGCATCTGAGATTTCAGTGTTGATCTACAGTGTGAAGATATTTTAAAACTACCCCTTAAGAGATCTGGTTTAAAAACACTTGAATCCATAATTAAGAGCACTTATAATATGTACAGGAGCCTTAGTGGAGTTGTGGTTACGAACAGGGCTGCTAACTGCAAGATCAGCAGTTCAAAACCACCGGCAGCTCCCAGGCTTTCTGTTCCAGTGAAGAGTTGCAGTCTCAGCCACTCACAGGGGCCATCCTACCCTGTTCTATAGGTAGCTGTGAGTCGGCATCGGCTCAGTGGCAGGGAGTTTCATTTTGGTTTTTGGATATGATGGATACAATGGCCTCCATCACAGCAGTGAATGTGAGACTGGCACAGGATCAGGCAGGGTTTTGTTCTGCTGTGGGGTCACTGACAGTTGGCATCGACTTGGCCACCCCTAGCAACAACTTAAGATGGTATCTCGTCATTCAGTTTCTGAGGGTAAGGCAGGGGAAGTTTGGGGGAAGGGGCAGTTCATAACAATGAGCACAAGAAAGAAGAGAATGTTCTAAAATTGATTGTGGCAATGATTGTACTACTCTTTTAAATAAGACTGAATGATTGCCTTGTAGTGGGAGAAATAATGAGCCTTTCTACTTCCGTAAAGAGTTGCCATCTCCAAAAACTACAGGGGCAGTTCTACCTTGTCATGGAGGGTTCTCTGCGAGTCAGAATTGACTTGATCGTCGTAGTGAGAGATTGGATTGCATGTGCAATCTATGCCAATAAAGTTGGTTTTAAAGGGTGTAGAGTAATTTTCTTGGGTAATTGACTGGGATCTCAGATAGAGTGTTTGATAAATGATTTTATGTCCAGTGGACACTCCTGGCTAGGGGTGGGGTCAAACCTGTCAATTAGATCACAGCCTGATGCTGTGTCCTTGGGGGTGTGGTCTTCTTATCAGCAGGAAGCCTGGGGCCGACCCTCGTTGTTGTCTCTCCCCTTTTGTCTTCCTGTCTGCAAGGACTCTGCTCTTGACCCTGAGAGCTGTTGGAGCCCTCCCATGCTTCCATTGACCTAGGATCGCCCTGCATTCGGCATCATGGCATGTGGCTGTGTGAGTCTGAAGAGGGACTTGTGGACGAGTACTGGACGTAAGGACTTGAGGTGGGCTGGGCTGGGATGCTTTCTTCTTTTTTTTTTCCTAATCATTTTATTAGGGGCTCATACAACTCTTCTCAGATGCTTTCTTGATATGTGATGCCTTCTTGATATCAAGCACTCTCTTATATAGGTGTGAGTGTCACTGGACTGTTTCCCTAGTCAACCTGGCCTAAGCCAACATGTAGGGATTTAGGGTGGTCAGTCTTGCAGGCGGAGGATTCTGCACAGACGACTGCCATTTGAAAACCACAAGCAAGCTTAAAGAACAGATGCACAGATACTTAACATGGACGCAAAGAGAATATTCCTAGACACATAATAGGCACAAAAGGGAAATGAAGAGTTTTTCATTGCAGCTCTCTCTAGGCTTCAGTTTTAAGCAACGCTACAAAGAAACAGTTGCTATCCCTGAAAACCCAATTGAGGGGATTCTTTGGACTTCAATTTTTTTTTTTTATTCTTTTGACTTTAAGAAGTTACATGACAGAAAGACCACGGAGTCACTGAAAGACTGGGCCATCAGTTTCCTTAAAGGGGTATGAATACGAGTCTCACAATTTAGTAAAAATTACAAAATATCTTGTCAGCCATTTTCTAGGCAGGAGGTGGTTAAAACGGCAACAGAGAGAGTCTTCATTTAGTGTTTATGAGGTAAGAGCTCATCTACTCACCATCTTCCGCTTTTTGAGGAAGTTACCATAAAGGAAATCAGAGAAAAACGACCTAATTTTCAAGAGGTTGACCTCAATGATGAAGAGCAGAGTGAGAAACAGGAAGCCTGTGACAATCATGGCAATCACATATTTTCCAATCCCATGACCTTCAAATCCATAAGAGGCCTGTTTCGATTTGATGCCTGGAAAAGAGAAATGTTCATTGTAACACAGAGAGAGCACCCACACGTCACTCACTTTACTGTCTGGGTTTGGAGAGTTTGTCTTATTGAAATAAATTTTCCTTTCTATTAAAGGTGTGAGTAGATAAAGACTGTTTCTGGAGGCAATCCAAGGTGAGGCTTGAGCCGAGGTAAATAGAAGTGAGTATTACAGTATACCAAATAAATTGAAGGTAAAATGTATGCCATATATTTGATGATATAGTTACTATGGAACTGCGTGGCCTTCATGGCCGAAGCAGTTTTACAATTCAATCGATCATTTTCATATTTTTAAACCAAAATACAATTTTCATAATGCTTGGCAATTTACAATTCCCATTTTGAGAGAGGGATCTTTAACAACTCCCCTTACTACATTTACAACATTTTAGGTTTTTGTTCTCTGCAGCAGAGAATCTCCTCGCCCTCATCCTCCATGGAACGTACCTCATATGTCTGAGCTTAGTGGGTTCGTGTCGTAAGCAATTTACTAAAAAAAGACGAAACCAACCTGGAAGAAAGTCCGACCTACACAAACGATATACTTTTTGTTCCCAGATAGGAAGGACATACTTTTAGGAAAAAGATGTGAAGCACCGACTCTAAGGAAAGTATACAAACCACAACCACAAGAGGAAAAAAACAAAGCAATTTTGGAGAATTCTCTCTCTGACCTCCCAGATCTGTTAATAAAATATACGCTGATCCTCCTCATGCCTCTGCGATTGGCTACAGTGGTTGGTGGCTGGACCCTTCATTCAGTTTCAACTTCTCAGATAATTTCTCTCGGGCTTTATGCTTCTTTCAGAGATTTAAAAAGTAGATCTCCAGGGGCCATCTCTGACTATTTGGTCCACAGCTTCCTGGCTTAGGGGTGAGCAACCAACTCAAGTGAGTTAATCATATTGTCCCGACTGTATTTGGAAATTTTGGTAGAGTACAGTCAGTCTCTGTGTGTCTTGGTGGTAAGCTGTGAAGCCGAGGGCATGGTGATTAGGGGAAGTAGTCACAAAACAAAAACAAAACAAAAAACATCATGAAAACAACTAAGATGTGTGGAGAGAGGCTGAGATAAGAACTAGAAAGAGAACATGATTTCTTTCCCCCACGTCCCTTCTTCTTCTTGAGAGTAGGCTACATTGCTACTAGAACTCTTGGGGCTCAGAGAGATGACACTTCTCCTTAAAATAATTTTCCGTCAAAAAAAAAGACCAACAACAACTCAACTTGGCAAGATGCTCTATTTCTGATACTTCTGTCCAAAAAGTTCTAATGCTTAACTGTTGTCCTTAGGTGCCATCGAGTTGGTTCTGACTGAGGTAAACTAGAACAAATCACTGCAGTCCTGTGCCCTCCTCACAACTGGTGCTGCGTTTGAGCCCTTTGTTGGCACCACTGTATCAATCCATGTCCTTGAGGGTGTCTCGTTTCCTCTGCTCTTCTATTTTGCCAAGTTTGAGGTTCTTTTGCAGGGACTGGCCCCACCTGATAACATACATGGGACAATGTCTCGCCATCCTTGCTTTAAAATAGTATTCTGACTATACTTCTTTCAGGACCGATTTGGACAGTCTATAGTCGTTTTAATATTCTTCACCAGCATCGTAATTCAAATGCATCAATTCTCCTTCAGTTTTCCTTATTCAATATCCAACTTTCACATGCAAATGATGCGACTCAAAATACTATGGTTTGGGTCAAGGCACCTTGGTCCTTAAACTGACATTCTTGTGCTGCGACACTTTGAAAAAGATCTTGGGCAACACATTTCCTCAATGCGATGTCATTTGATTTTTTGACCACTGCTTCCATGAGCACTGACTGTGGATCTAAGCAAGAAGATGTCCTTGACAACTTCCATCTTTTCTCTATTTATCATGAGGCTATCTATTGGTCCAGTTGTGAGGATCTTGGTCTTTTATACAATGAGTTCTAATCCATACGTGAAGGCTGTAATCCTTGATCTTCATCAGCAAGTGCTTCAGTTCCTCCTTGCTTGCAGAAAGCAAGATTGTGTCATATGCATATCACAGTTGTTAATAAGCCTTCAGCAATTCTGATGCCAAGTTCTTGATCATATACAACTTCTTGAAATGAGTCAATGTCAATTAATTCATTTTGTTGCAATGATTTTGTATTTCTTCCACCTTCTTTTGAGCATCTTTCAACATTTTGCCCATAGAATCTTTTAACATTGCAACTTGAGGCTTGAATATTTCATTCTTTTATCTTAGGATATGCTGAGTGTGTTGTTCCTCTTTTGTTTTTCTAACTCCATATCGCTGCACATTTCATTATAAGACTTTACTCTGCCTTCTCAAGTTGTCCTTTGAAGTGTTCCGTGCAGCTCTTTTACTTTCTCCTTCATTACATTTCCGTTAGATACTCTGATGAAGAGCGCATTTCACAGCCTCTTCTGACATCCCATTGAGTCTTTTCTTTCACTCCTGTCTCTTTTATTTTTTCTTTTTCCAACAGTTTTATTGGCACATCATTAACACATCATACTATTGAGTAGCTCAATCCTTCAGTCATAGCAAGGGGAATTGTACAATCGCCACATCTATCTTAGAGCTTTCCCTTCCCCCACAGTGAAATCACCTTCAATATGAGTTGTGCAATCACGATAAATTCTAGTGTTCCCTTCCCGCTCCTGCCTTTTGAATGACCTTCTACTTTCTCACGTCATGATGTCATCCACAGCTTGTCAAGTCTTCTTGTAATTAGTGGTTAGCCGAGTCATATCTATTCTTGAAATATTCTCAGAATTTAGATGAGATATACTTGAGGTCATATTTTGGCTCTCGTGGACTTGTTTTGATGTTCTTCAACTAGAACTTGAACTTATGTGTGAACAATCGATGGTCTCTTCAACACTCAGTCCTTGGGCTTCTTTTAGCTATTGACATGGGGCTTCTCTTCCCACAGCTGTAGTCAATTTGATTTCTGTGTCTTCCATCTGCCAGAGTCCATGCTTTCATGTTGTTGGAGGAAGGTCTATGCGATGAAGAAATCGCTGGTTTTGCAAAATTCTTTCATGCTATCTCCATCCAACTACTCTTCCTTCTTTGTTTCCGACTTTCACCTTCCAATTGCCAATAATTAGCAATGCATCTTGATTGCAAGTTTGATACATTTCGGACCAAGAAGCGGGTAGAATTCTTTAGTTTCTCTATCCCTGGCTTTAGTGATTGATGTGGTGGTGCAGTGGTGAAGCGACAGACTGTGATCTGCATGGTCAGCAGTGCAGTTCAAAACCACCAGCAGCTCTACAGGAGGAAGATTGGGCTTCCTACTTCCATAAACCATTACAGTCTCAGAAACCCGGAGGAGGCTGCTATGATTCAGCATTGCCTTGATGACTGTGAGTGTAAATTTGACTCACAGCTGTATTAACTGTCTATAGGTATTATTGTATCAGAGACAGAATGTACTTCAAGATAGATCTTGAAATGTTCTGAGGATGAATGCGACACAATTCCTCTTGAACTTGTATTCCAGGCATCATGTACCATGTGATTAGTCTCATGCAAAATGTCCAATGTTAATCCATTTCAGCTCCCTAATATCTAGGATCTCGATCTTTATGTATTCCATTTATGTATTCCATTTTAAGGGGAATTTTCCATTTTATTTTACACCAGTTTTATTGATTTATACTGCTTCCATGGAATATTCCTATTATTAATGGATGTTTTCAGTTGTTTCTTCTCATTTTAAATCATGTTACACTAACCCATGAAGATTCTGGAAACTTTACTCCACCTACATCAAGGTCTTCCCAGTCAGTACTTGCCAACTGGAGTGGTTGATCTTTTGCCACTATGTAAGACAATGTTCTGCTGCGATTCCTTAGGTTTTCAGTGGGACTCTGCTGGTATCTGAAATCTTGGTGGTACAGCTTCCAGCATCAGTGACATGTAAGCCACCATAGTACCTAACACAAAGTAGCAGAGAAGTTCGGTATGTTTATTTGGTGTTATTAGGTGCAGTTGATTTGGTTGTGACTCATAGGGACCTTTTGTACAACAGAACAATGCTTGCTCCTGTGCCCTCCTCACACTTGTTGTTAAGTTTGAGCCCATTGTCATAGCCACCGTGTCAATCCATCTTGCTGAGAATCTTTCTTTCTTTTCTTTTTCTGCTGCCCTTTTACATTACCAAGCATGATGTCCTTTTCCAAAGGCCACCATTTCCACAGTCCTGAGGTGGCCATCCTTTGCTTCCTTCCCATCAGGGAATTTCAGTCCTAAGTCCAAGGGCAACAGTAGTTTTGAGATTGGGCCCAGTTTGTTCAGTTGGGCTTCCATGTCATGTCCTTACAGTGTGGTCCTTGGGGGAAGCCAGGTTCCCTGTCAGGCCAGCATCTAAGGTCATCATAGTGCTTAGTCCATGCCATGACTTACCAAGGATTGGGTAGAAACATATTTGAAGCACCTCCCCAGGAACACAGAACCAGGTTTATTCTCCCCTCAGATTCCCTACAAATATTGTTCGGCATCCTATCTCGATGTGAGGCTCTCCTCCCCGTTTACCCACCAAGAGTGCCTCTTCTGAAACGTAGATGCTAACCATTGCTTAAGTTTTTAATGGTTGAAATTACTCCAATATTTCATTTAGAGATAAGGTTTAACATGCAACTATGGGAGGGCACTGAAGCTTATCTACAGTGAAATATAGTGAGCTGGTAACAAAATCTCTTAGAACCCACTCGGCAGTTAGAAGGGAAAGACCCACGGTGCTCAAAGTCTCTAATACTCCAGCTTCCTCTGAAGTCAGTAGTCGTTGACACCCCTGAATGTGCATTGTAACATATTACATAAATAGCATAAAGCAGGGTAGATAGCAGGGAGCTTCCATACTGGCCACAGCGTAACATGCTGTGGGTGAGTTCACCTAACCCTGGCAAAAAAGTCTCATTGGCATATATTTCACATATAATACAATTTAACCATTCAGCCATACTAAGAAAATCTGTGCACTCCTCACCTCAGTCACGCTAAGCACATTCTTCTCATAATCATTGTGGTTAGCTTTCCATTGCCTTGTCCTCCCCTCCCATGGCCCTAGGTAATTATTAATCCAGTTACTGTCCCTATAGATTTACCTATCCTGGATTTCATATATAAAGAAAATCACATCAAACACAAACAAGAAGCAAATAAACACAAACCTTGACAGCAATGGCTAGACAAAACATAGGAAACCTCAATAGTAAAAAACAACAACCCCAAAAGAAAAACAAAAACAAAACCCCAAACCCAGAAAATAGTAAAAACTGAAACAACTTTAAAATGAGTCAAAAGGGAGATCAAATGATAAGATCATTACATTTTAAATTGGCTACATCTGCCATACATGACTTTGCTGTGCTCTTCTGTCTGGTAGCAAGGCTATTCACATAATCCTTCTCCTGGGGTTTCTGTTTCCTACTTTTCCCATTGCTCCGGCTTTAGTGCTCTGCAGGAAGCTTGCCTATATGGAATTCTGACCTTCTCTTGCCCTTCACTGCTATCCCTACTGCCCACACTGTGTTTCCTTGCCTACAATCATGGTAGGTGTATGTTGAACCTCCTCTAACTGATCTTTTTGTTCTGTTGTTGAGAGTCTCTTGCTTTTAATAAAGTTACAGAGAACTGCCAAGCCTAATCCTATCTTTCTGGCCCTCAAAAGCTGGCATAACAGCAAGTGTGCCAAGGATCGTCTCTGTTTATCTTCAACTATATTTAGATGAATAAAAGTTACACCTTGAGTTTTTCTGAGTCAGACAGATAAATCTGGGATTCATGTGGCTCAGACAAAAGTTTGGACTAGGAGGGACATCCTGAAGTTCCTGACTCTCAACATAAAGCTAAGTGGGAGAGCGGCAACACCTGCTGACAGACTCCCCTGTACCACTGGACAGCAGCATCAGTTGTGAACCTGTTTCTCCAGCCACAGCTGACTTTTCCGGGCCCCCCGAAGGCAGCCCAACCAGACAAACCTCACGGATCTCGGGGAGACAGCTCTGTGTGGGCAGCTTGGTGCAGACATCATCTCCCTGGCGCCGCCCCCTCTCCCATGGCCTCACCTCTCCTACACAGTGCACACGATCACAAAATCACACTATCAAATATCAGGACAATATTATCTTCTACTTTATACTATTTTCCTTGGTTTTTGTATTTTTGTTCTACTACAATACTCTTCTTATATTTTTGGAGTTCTCTCTCACTTCCTCTGCCAGAGCTCTCCTTCCAAGTGCACCCACATGCTCCTGAGAACACCCATTTCCAGGGTGTAGATCCCAGCACGCCCACCAAAACAAGAGCTCCCTTTCCCCTCCCCTTTGACAACCTGGACACACTCACATTCATGTTGCCATAGCAACCACCCCTAAGACTTTTGTCTCTTTTAATTTTTTCCTGTTTTCTTTTCGAGTGAGGCTTTTCTCTATTTTGTTTTGTTATGGTTGTTGGTGTGTTTTTTGTTTTGGCATGTTTTTCTTTATCTGAAATCTAGGACAGGTAAATCTATAGAGACAATAACTGAGAAATTGTTTCTTAGTTTTCTGGCAGGGGAAGTTGGGAGGGGTGGTTGGAGAGGTAATTTCCTAAGGAGCACAAGAATGAAGAAAAGTTTCTACGATTGATTGCGGGGATGATTGCAGAGTTCTTTTTCATGTAGCTGAACCACTGGATTGTATGATATTTGAATTATGTCAACAAAACTGTTAAAATAAAAAACCCAACCCTCCCCTGAAAGTCTATGTGAACGGGGAGGGGATCTCAGAAGGGGCGGTGGGAGTGGTTGGACAGCTGAAAGAATGTCATCAGTGTTACTGAATTTAACGTTTAGAAGATGTGGAATTGGTGTATATGTTCCCCTATGTATATTCTCAACAACAAGAACAACATACAATAATTATAAATAACAAGAAAATACCCACCCTCCCCACTGGAAAAATTTTTTCTTGCTCTATTTCTGTACCTTAAGTTACTATTTTCATTCTTGCCCAAATGTCAGCAACTCCCTTCTTACAGAATATTCAATCAATGAATAATAGCCCATCAATAAATGAATACTGCTATTAACACATACACCTGAAGTTGGCAGACAAATTCTGTGTGCTAAATGCAGTATCTATACACAGATTACCAAAGAAGAAGAAGAAGAGAAATAAAAAGGAAATTGGACTCAGGGGGTCCAGAACATCAGCCTTTGTTGATAAGCCCTGTGGGTCAAAGCAAGTAACTGTGGACTCTGATCAACATGACTAGTCCATATTGTGTTGTTTCCTTCCCCTCTTATTAAGATAAGCACCGTGGAAGCGACAGGTGCAGCAGCCTGTGTCTCGGCAGGAAGCAGCCCGACACCATGTACATCCATTTCCCTGTGAGCCATCAGGGATGTAGTTAGGAGTAGGACTCAGTGGAGTTACACTGTGTAACTCCCAAGTCTCCCACATCTTCTGAGTGTGATATCTTAGGAAAGTGTTTTTAGGTGTTTTTTTTTGCCCAGTTCCCACATCTGTGGAATAATAAAAAGAAGGATAATAATTACCTAGACATCATGAAGTAGTTGTAAGAAGTAACAGGGCATGGATCCTACAAAGCAGTTAGTAAATTTTAGCTATTGGTGACATCACAAATCCTTAGTACTTACTTCTAAGTAAACACCCCTAGGATAATTTTTTTTAAAGCAATACAAGAGTCAGGTGAGCACACAATTGGCCTTTCTAAACTTTTTCAGGTATAAAGGGAATTTATGGCTCTTTCTCCAAGTGGGGAGATCACATCTATCTTAAAAATACCCTCTGTAGGAATTCTAGATGTTTTTACGAAAGACCTTCTTAGAAATTACCTTCTGTGCTTGAATGTGGAATGGGATCGAGACCAGAGATTCATTGCTACTAGGGACGGCGAGGGCCGCCCTGATACTCACTGTTCCCCGTGCAGTCTCCGTAAGAGCGGGCGCAGTATTTCTGGGCTTGGAAGTTGTCGTATAATCCGCTGATGGATTGTCCCAAGTTGTGAGTGGGAAACAGAAAGCATAGACCGACCAGTAGTTGGTTGAAACGACCCAGATTCATCACTAGGATAGAAAATGTCTAAGTTAATTTCCATCGCAGAAAACAAGTATGAACTTATTAGCGCAACACAGAGCTCCAGATGGTTTTTGGAAAATCTTTAGCTAGCGATCACTAGACCTTCCTTTGTCATGAAGCCCAGAATGATAGTACAGTCCAGTGGGTTTGGAGAGATTATAGACAACTCAAGGGGGAGAGGAACAGTATCTAGTTCTCCAGTCCTGCATGCAAAGGAAACTTGTGTCTGCTTACAAGCCAAATGAAGTGGCATATACAGGTAGGAAGGGTTCATGTAATGGATGTGATGCGGGATAAGGCTGAAGTTACTACACTACTCTAAAAATTATGGTTGGAATAGATAGACGGGAGTTAAGCGTCAGGGTTCCAGAGACTCCAGGCATTAATGATAATGGACATTCCATAAATGGTCCATTACTCAACAACTGAAAGTTTATCCTAACAAAATTACAAGACAAACAAACAAACAAACAAACAGAAAAACCTTATACATGGAGATGTTTGTGTGCTACATATTTCATTACAGGTAAGACAATGGAAATAACCCAGAGGAACAATAGTAGCTAAATTGTGGCACGTTTATTCTTTAAATATTATGTGCCTATAAAATGTTTATAATTTGTAATAGCATAGGGAATTACATATGCCATACAAAACGTGGTGATGGAATTCTAAGATGACCCACAGTATTCTGCCACCCCAATGTCCACAACTTGTACAATTCCCTCCATTTGAATGTGGGTGAGATTATAAATACGGATTCCGTTCTTAAGGCTAGTTTGTGTTCTATAACAAAAGACAAGGGGTTTTGCAGAAAATATGCAAGTTACCTATCACTGAGTTAATCAACAAGAAGCTTCTCATGGGTGGGCCTTTAAAAGGAACTGGCTCTTCTTAATATAGTGAAAATGTCAGTACGATTGAACAAAGGACACTCACTGCCATGGAGTGGATTCTGACTCGGAGTGACTCTACAGTACAGGATACAGCTGCCCTTTGGGTCTCCATGACGGGAGCTCTCTATGGGGCTAGACAGCTTCTCTTTTCTCTCACAGAGTGGTTGGTGGTTTTGAATGACAACCTTGCAGTTAGCAACCCAACGTGTGACCATGACATTCCCAGGGCTCCTCCAAATATTACTAATGTCACTCTGTAAATTCAGGGTAATTCTAAGCCAACTCCAGCACAGTTCTTTAAAAAAAAAAAAAAGAAAGAAAGAAAAACTAACCACCATTTTCTTATGGAAAGGAAAGAAAACAGGATCAACAAAACACGGCTAAAATACAAAAACAAAGCAGGAGGCCTCTCACTCCCCAACTTCGAAATCCATTGTACAGCCTTGGTAATCAAAAGAGCTTGGTATTGATATATATTTAGACCAATGGAGCAGAACAAAGAGCCCAGAAATAAAACCAAGCAACTACAGACACCTGATTTTTGATAAAGGGGTAAAACACATTAAATAAGGAAGATAGAGCCTTTTCAACAAATGGTGCTGGAAAAATTGTATCTCCACTTGTAAAAGAATGAAGCAGGACCCATACCTGAAATCATATACACAAATGAACGCAAGATGGATGAAAGACTTAAATAGAAACCTTAAAACTATAAAAGATTATCAGTGAAAAACTAGGGGAAATTTTAAGGAGCCTAACTAACACAAGGAATAAATAAGTACACTACCAAACATAATGAAAACTACTCATACTACAGAAGAAGAGATAGAAAGACTGGGATCTTCTGAAAATAATGACATTTGTGTACATCAAAAGATTGCATCAAAAGAATAAAAGAAACCCCACAGATTTTTTTGATAGTGATCTATTAGATCAAAGGCAGAATCTATAGAAAACTGTGGTACCTCGATAAGAAAAACCAACAATCCAATAAAAAATTGGCAGAAGACATGAATGTGATATCCATGTTCACTGAAGCTGATCTCCAGGTGGCCAATAATCAGATGAAGAAATGCTTTAAAAGACAAATGAAAACAACGATAAGACACTACCTCACCTGGGTACTGATAGCACACACCAAACCAAAACAACAACAACAACAAAACCAAAAACAGGCCCAGAAAATAACAAATGCTGGAGAGGATATGGAGAGATCGGAACACTCATATACTGCAGGGGGGCTCGGACAATTGTACAGATATTATGGGAAATGGCATGGCACTACCTTAAACGTACCATATGACCATGTAATCTCTTAACTTGGTATGTTACCCCAAAGAAATTAAGAACAATATACAAACAGTTATGTGCACCACCATATTCATGCCAGCACTATCCATAATATCCAAAAGATGGGAACAATCAGAAAGCTTGTCTGTGGTGGAATGAATCAACAGGGTCACTATGAGTTGACAGGGACTCGATGGCAGTGAGTTTGATTTTGAGTACATAGATACAATGGAATATGATGCATTTCTAAAGAACAATGAAACTGTCAAGCACGTCATGACATGGATGAATTGGCAAGACACTATGCTCCGCAAAGTTAGTCAATCTCATAAAGACAAAAACTTCCTGACACCACTAAAATGATAAAAGATAAAACTGAGAAAAATGGTGTTTACGCCTCAAGAAGCGTCTTGAAGGCTATGGCGAGGTTGAGCTGGGGTAGGGTGGGGAGGGAGGGACAGGGAAGGAGGGAGGGAGAAGTAAATAGGAACTGGGCCCTTCCTGCATCAGAAGGTTTTGAGATTCTTCTGCTGCCCTTCAGGAAGTCTAGACTGCTCGGATGGAAAGAGAGTCTCCTGTTCGGGAACCGTGCTTGCTCTCTGGGATCTAAGAATGGCCCCTGAGAGCTCAGTCCACCGTTGCAAGAAACGGAGTTCTGCCCACAACCAGTGAGGTTGGGAGAGGAGCCTGATCCTCCGAAGAAGCGGCAGCCCTGGACAACACTTTGATTCCATCCTGTGCAGAAGACCCAGGTAACCAGCGCCTGGATTACTAACCAATAGAAGTTGTGAGTTAATAAATTTGTTATTTTTAAACTGCTCAGCCTGCAGTCATATGTTACACAACAATGGAAACAAATTTACAAATGAAACCAGTAAGTTATGGATCTAAGGATTTCATCAATATAAAATAATGCTTAGATCACAGTGCAAGATATATTACATCCTTTTAAGTAGCTGTTTCAGGTAGGTATGATTAAGAGTATTTTTTCCCTCCAATTTTTACTTCTGTATCATTTCTACTTGTCTATAAAGACGTGGACAGTTAGCTTATGTAGGCTTCTTAGGAGTCCAAAGGAGGGAAATAGTTGGGAAACCTGGATTATTGAAGAGCTTTCTCAGAACTCTAATGGCATTAAATCATTTTTAGAATTCAAACCCCTACCGAGTCCATAAGCCCCTTCAAGATCTGGTCCCTGTTTACTCCTCTAGACCACTCTTATTCCTTTCAGAAAATGATCCAGGCATAATTATCTTTTTCTGTTCCTTATACCATGCCAAAGGAGCCCTGCTAGCATAATAGTTACGCTTTGGGATACTAACTTGAAGATCAGAAGTTCGAAACGACCAGCCACTCCGAGGGAGAAAGAGGGGACTTTCTACTCCTGTAAAGAGTCACAGTCTCAGAAACTCACAGAGGGCAGGTCTACCTTGTCCTCGCTATCACTCGATGGCAATAAGTTTATACTACGCTTAGGTGCCTTCTGATGTTAAGATATTTTTGCTAACTTCTTCAGTAGCCTGAAATAATATTCTTTCACTAAATCTTCAAGGGGCTAGCTGTAAATCAAGAGACCCCAAACTAAAATAATCCTCAATCATTCTCAAATGGCCACTCTACTGGAGATCACAGGGGTTATTATTACCTTTATGCTAGCACTTACTACTATCTTGTTGTTGTTGCTGTTCTCCCTTTAATATTATTATGTATACTCCAGAATAGGAACATTATCTATCTTAAGAGTATATTCCTTATGTGTAGCCTCTAATAGAGGCTTAATAAATGTTACATAAATGGAAAACAGATGACTCACAGATACCCCTAAGATGCATATAGAATATGTTATCTTCTTAGAGGCAGTTACTGATCTGCTGGCTTCTTAACTTTGTAGGGAATTTCAGATGAGAAGATTCTTAGGGAGGAAATACCTCCACCACCCCCAAATACAGATTATTCTATCGTTTGTGTAGAGGATGGGAGGAGGGATCAGGGGGTTACATTTTTATCATTCTCTAAGAGGATCTGATATATCTGGGATGAACTCGAAGTGACCCCTCTACTCCCCCAAATCACTGAATTCTTAAAAGTCTCATAGTAATGTCGTCTAAAATGGGTTGATAACGTGTGAACTTTCAAAGATATTTAGGTTACCATTTTAAAAATACACCAGTCCTAATCATGTGCTTCTTTACTTGATCACAGATTCTTCCAGAACCTGAGCTCATTTCATACAGAAGGAAAACCTGCAGGCTTCCACTTACTGTTAGTATCAATCATGTGGACCAAGAAAAAACTGGCAATGCCTGTAAGCAAGTTGAATGCAAGCAATTTGGTATAGGCAGTAGCACTGTTGGAAAACAAGAAGCTCATCAAGTATATGAAGGGAACGATGGACCAGCCGAACAGCACTAAGATCAGCAAGACGTCTGTGTAGTTGTTGCCTTCAAAGAACACGTCCACGTGACAGATGTAGAAGACTACCTAGGAGCACAAAGACCAAGCACAGAGGTCAGGGATTTGTTGGCTGAGCGTTAAAGGGGTGGGAGGGAGAGTATAGCAATGAAAAAATCAGCCCAGAACACCAAACAAAAACATAACATCATGGTAGAGTAGAATTCCAAATCATGGTTCCATTATAGGAGAACTGCCCCATAGAGTTTTCAAGGTTTTCTTTACAGAGGCAGACTTGCCACATCCTCCTCCCTGCTGTCATTACATGGCCATTGAGTTGGTACCTGAGGTTATGAAATTTGGGGTGTGTGTGAAATTTATTTATTATTATGATTTTTTAATAAATCATTTTATTGGGGGTTCATACAACTCTTATCACAATCCATCCATCCATCCATTGTGCCAAGCACATTTGCACCTTTGTTGCCATAATCATTTTCAAAACACTTTCTTTCTACGTGAGCCCTTGGTATCAGCTCATTTTTTCCCCTCCTTCCCCCACCTTCCTGCCCTCATGAACCCTTGATAATTTATAGATTATTTTTTTCATGTCTTGCACTGACCAATGTCTCCCTTTACCCACTTTTCTGTTGTCCATCCCCCTGGGAGGGTGTTATAGGTAGATATAGGTGATCGGTTCCCTCTATCTCCCCCCACCTTCCTCTTACCCTCCTGGTATAGCTACTCTCAATATTGGTCCTGAGGGGTTATCTGTCCAGGATTCCCTGTGTTTCCAGCTCTTGTCTGTACCCATGTACATGCTCTGGTCTAGCCAGATTTGTATATATGACGATGGGGGAATAGATTTATGTACATATATTTGTAAGTTTAGTATTAAGGTAGCAGATGGACATTGGGCCTCTACTCAAGTACTTCCTCAATGCAAGAATACTTTGTTCTATTAAACTGGCATTACATGATGCTCACCTTTCTGACACGATCACTGAAGAGGTGCATAAGCAAATGTTGTGAAGAAAGCTGATGGTGCCCAGCTATCAAAACATATAGCATCTGGCATCTTAGAGGCTTGAAGATAAACAAGCAGCCATCTAACTGAGAAGCAACAAAGCCCACATGGAAGAAGCACACCAGCCTGTGTGATCATGAGGTGTCAATGGGATCAGGTATCAGGCATCAAAGACCCAGAACAAAAAACCCGTATCATTGTGAATGAGGGGGAGTGTGGAGTGGAGACCCAAAGCCCATCTGTAGGCAATTGGAGACTATGAATTTTTGTGGGAGTATCTTTCTACCATGTTGCTGCTGGTGGGTTTGAACCATGGACTTGGTAGTTAGCAACACAATGCTTATCCCACAGTGCCACCAGGGCTCCTTTCTCAGAACACCAGAGGGATGAAAATACCCCATTCTACCTTTTAAAACTCAGGCTCATAGGCTCAGGCTGAGCTCCATCAACCTATTCATACCGAAAGTAACAACAAAGAAAACAGAATGCTTTCCCTCTCTTTTGTCCTAGTTGGAGTAGTTTGGTTTCTTCTTTTGTTTTGTTTAGCAGTTTACAGGGAAGATGGTGTAGCTATTGTAGACATTCCCAATACAGAGATTGTTCTAAACTCTTAGGGCAACATTTCTCACACATTCAGGGAGCAAACAAGAGTCAGGCTCAGGTTCAGTAAGCTGGCCACTGATGTCTGCAGAGATGCTCACGAGGGCACTCTAAGTTGTTGGACGAAGACGTGGGCAGGAAAATCATTGTACTTAGAAGCTTTCAGCCTCTATTTCATAGTGTCAGGAATCAGGCAAGTAGCCTGTGCAGGAAAGTATGTGCAGGTATACACCAAACACTTACCAGCAGGAGGAGGGAACACACAAAGATGATGATGATATCCCAAACCAAAGCAGAAAGCCAGAAAACGCCCATGTGTGCTCCACTGACAAACTGGATGTGCTTAGCCTTACAGACTCGTTCGCTTATTGTCAGGAGAGAAAAACTGCTAGCCACAATGGCTGTGCCAAGGAACAAACTGAAGGCAACATCGTACCCTTTAATGCCCCTGTGGAAGACGGAACACGAAAAGACAGCGTGGGCAGTAGGAATGCAAATTCCTGAAAATCATTTTATTGGGGGCTCGTATAACTCTTATCACAATCCATACATACATCAATTGTGTAAAGCACATTTGTACATTCATTACGCTCGTCATTCTCAAAACATTTAGTAGGAATACCATTTTTACAAAGACAGCCATTTGCAGAATTTTGAATTTAACTGACAGGTATGTTTCTGAAAAGTATTTCTGGGGATCAATATAAAAGGGGCCTTCCAAAAATTCATGGAAACATTGAATTAAAAGGGAATGCAATTTTCTTTTTTTTTTGGGGGGGGGGGATTCAATTTTCCACAATCTTTTGTAGGTCCCTTGTACGGTTGCCAGTTTATTTGTTGACAAATATATAAAAACTGTTATCATAAAAAATGGTGTTCTAATTTGTATTAGGGCTTAAATGGTAAAGCATCTAAGTTGTGGTAGATCTCGATTTGTAAGTGGGAGCTCTAAGTCCATTTTCACTCTTGATAGCCAGCCCTCACTGAGTTCATGCTGACCATTAACCAGCCATCTTATGATCATTTTCATATCTTACACCATCCACTGTTTCCCTTTGCCCATGTACTATTTTTGCAAGCACAAATAAAAGTTGTTAAAAAGCTGGTGCTGTTTTACATATTTGAAATTTTCTTTTGATATTTGGCTTACAGAAAGAAGACAGCCATTTTTTTTTAGATTCTTATTGTGTATTTGGTTTTTTGTAATATGTGCTTTGGAAGAAGTACGTGAGAAAAATATGACATCATCCTATATATGTGTATATATGAGAGGGTACCCCCCCAAAACCTGAATTTTTTCAAAGCTATGTATTTAAAATTTTTTTACTAAGCAACCTTATTACCTTCAAAGTACTTTCCATTACACTTAATACATCTTTCAAACTCATTTGTTTGGATGGCTGACAGCATCTCCCTAGTTTTTCTTCACCTTTTTTTCCATCATCAAATCGCTGTCCTTTCATGCCCCTCTTCATTCATGGACACCAAGAGAAGTCACATGGAGTGAGATCAGAGGAGTCAGGTGAGTGGGGCAAGAGAGGCATGCTGCTTTTTGCCAAAAACTGGCACACAGAGATGCTGCATGAGCAGGTGCATTGTTGTGGTAGCAAAACCAGTCCCGTCTGCTACAAATCAGGCCTTTTTTTGTCACACAGTTACATATGCAATCTTTTCAGAACCTCTAAATAGAAAGCTTGATTAATAGTCTGACCTGGTGGTATGAACACCAAATGAACTATGAGTCAACATTTTCATCCATTTGGGAAGTTGATGGATGTCCAGAATGACGTTTGTCATCAATCAACATTTCACCTTTTTTGAAATGTTGGTTGAATGGAATCATTCAACCCCCCCAAAAAAAGAAATAAGGTTGCTTAGTAAAAAACTCATACATGTGAGTTTTTCCCATAGCGCTGTCCTTATAAGCTGTGTTCAACATCACAACAGTTTCTGCGGCATTTTTCCTGAGCAGGAAACAAATTTGCATAGCCACATGCTGTTCTCAGCCATCACAAAAACGAGGTTTGAGTAAAACTGCTTTCATGAAAAAATTCACTGTGACCAGAGAACCTTCCCAGGAGATGCCACTGAGTGCACTAACTCAGATACAGTTACTTGACAGTTGCTTAGTGGGAAAACATACTATGAAAGGTCTGCTTAGTGGAATTTTCCCCCAGTTTTTTTGGGGAAAACCTCCATGTATATACATACGTATACCTAAACCTATGTCTATACCTATATCTATATCAGGGTGACCAACTTGTCCTGGTTTGACTGAGATTTTCCTAGTTTCACAGTGAATGTCCTCTGTACCCAGAATCCTCTAAGTTCTGGGAAAACCAGGGCAATTGGCTCTCCTTAATACAACGTGGAATCTGAAATTTTATGCTGTGAAAAATATAAACCCATAGATTTAGCTTAATGTATCTTTCCCAGTACATGAATCTCTAACATTTTGAACTGGCTGTTGGAAAATATTAAATGAAATGTGTTTTGATCTTGAAGACTCGTGAAATGGTCTATGGCACCCTCAAGAGTCCTTGGACCACACTTTGAGAACTGCCCAGAGCACCACATAGACATTTAATAAACATTTGTAACATATAAATCCAAGAAGGAAAAAAAGAAACCCCAGAGCACACATACTTATGAAATTGTTTCTTCAGTTTTTGACTGGCAGTTGGAGGTTGAGGCTTGTTAGCGACTGAGATCGAAGCACCAGGGCCAGAGAGTAACTTAAACAGAATATTGTTGACCAAATTCAGGGCTGTTGGAGCAGTATGATATGCCTGGTTGTTAAACAGAGCAGTGAAGATGGCTTTGCTTTCTTGGACATCAAGGGAAACAGCAACAATACATTGTTCCTTACAGCTTCTACTTTTCAATAGGTACTCTTCCATGTTACCTAGAATGGGGAAAACAACTCATGGGTCAGCAGGCAAACTCATTTGATTCCATTCAACCAACATTTCCTGATTTAATCTAGGCAATGTGCCAGGTACGGGTATACTTTCACCTGGAGAGCAGCTACTGCGTACTTTGGGGTCATAAAGAAGAGAGAAAAGTCATAAAAGTAATACTCTGTAAGATGAAACATAAATGTGCCATCAAATGAAATAGCTATTATGTCAATGCTAATAGAGATGTGAGTATTGATCAAAAGATATAATTTGGAAACAAGGCATTGTATGCTTTCTCTGAGGCATGGAGATATCTGGGTGTTTTGTAGGATTCTACCAACTATTGTTTGACCTTGAGTAAATTATTGAACTTCTCTGAATCTCACTTTTTTGGTGTACATTAACTGGAATCATGCATGTGGAAGGTCTTAGGAGCTGAAAAATAATATAAAATGAAGTTTATTTACGTGTAAACTTTGTGGAGGTACAGCCTTATTCATCTCTCAGCATCTCTTGGACATTTATAAATGGCTACTCAATGAAGCCATATTCATTTCGTTCTGGATCCCTTGTGTGTCGGTTCATTATATATCATTCCCATTCCCCAAAGATTAAAAGTAAGACCCAAAGTGGCCATTTAGGATCTTACATTGCTTCATTAGGTCAGATGTGTCTAGCCAGGCATACCTCCCTGAAGCACATGTTCTAAGCCACATGCTACTGAGCATGTTATTTCATGGAGTACAAGCTTTCTGGAGGAAGGCTGGTATGGCTAGACATACTAAAGGACATGTTTCATATAATATTTGCCCTGATTTCCTAAGATTGATGAAAAGTAGGAATTTCCCGTTTCGATTTTTGAAGCATATGAACATTTGTCAAGTGATTTGTCTTCACACAACACACATCCTTCTTGGCAAAGCCCTTACCTGTGACTGGGTGAGGCAGTTGTTTCTCATTTGCTAGTATAAGTTTTATGTGGTCTGAAAACCGAATGCCCAACTCAGTGTCCAGAGAGAAAGTATAAGGCACAATAGATTGACCATACTTGTGCAAATCCATGCCCAAAGAAGGGGGATCCTTCACTTCTGAGTTGTAGAAGATGACTTTTAGGAAGAAGGCAGTGAAAAACAGTAGTATCAAAATCTGCAATACCATGATCTTCCAGTGACGAAAAGTATAAAGAGCCCTTTTTATCAGCAAGGCATAGAACTGCTGGATGCAAAGAACAATCTACAAAGAGGAGAGAGACATAAAATAAACTTTGAGTCACCTTTCAGGCTTTTAGAGGCTTCCACACTTTAGAGGGCAATCTAGAGGCCAGGGTTAGGTGATCCTCCTATGTGATCACATGGTACTCTGCACTTTCCCCTCATCATTATGCTTGTAATTTTATTCTGTAATTGGATGGTCAACTGAGCCTTGATGGCACAGTGGTAAAAGCACTCACCTACTCACAGAAAGGTCAGTGTTGTGAGCCCACCAGCCATTTGTGAAAGAAAGAGGTGGCAGTTTGCTTCTATAAAGAGATCCAGTCTTGGGAAGCCTATCGGCCAGTTCTATTCTGCCTGATTGGGTCACTATGAGTCAGAATCAAGAGCAGTGGGTTTGATTTTCTTTTTTGGTTTGCATATTCCATCACATATCTTTCTTGCTAGATTGCAAACTCCACTAGGACAGGCACCATTTCTGTCTTCTTTATTGCTCTATTTCCAAGGTCTCGCATAGAATGAGAACTCAATAGAGGGAGGACGCAATACTGGTTAAACTGAACTAAAGCAACAACAACACAATAACCCTGGTAACTCAGGTTGATATCCCTTGTGGGTGCTCACAGACTACAGTTTAATGGTAGGCATATACAATATACATAGCAACATTACTAGAAAAAACAAGCAAGAATTTCAGTATAAAGGAAAATGGTGGGACTGGATTTTCCCAACAATATTTGCGGTTTATTGGGGGGATATGTTGACAATAATATAATTTAATATAATACAGTATGCTGACGGTGGAGCCATGGTTAGTAGTGGTTATGAGTTGGGTGCTAACCTCAAGGTCAGCAGTTCAAAACCACCAACTGCTTCATGGGAGAGAGATAAGGCTTTTTATTTCCATAAAGATTTATAGTTTTGAAAACCCAAAGGACTCTACCCTGTCTGAAAGGGTCACTAAGAGTCTGATTTGATTAAATGGAAGTGAGAAGAAGAAGAGGAAGAAACAAATGCAGTAGAAGCAGCCGCAGCAGCAGAGCATCATTTAGACAAACCTGAAGGTGCAGGGAAAGGTCTTGTATGAGATGAAGCTTGAGTTGAATATTTAAAATATGATTTCACTAGGCTAAAACGATGAAATAGCTTAATGATAAGAGATCTAGGCGTTTCAAAACCATAGTTTTCAAAGTGAGAAGCTACTGAAGTAGGTTAGATAGTTGAGGGCAAATTTTAGAGAACAATATATGCTTTATTAGAATTCTGTAGATAATTGGGATTTAGTGAAGGGTTTTAAGCACAGACTCTAAAGTTTGTGTAGTGCAGAGGATAGATGTAAGGATGCATATGCAAAAGTGTGAGAGATTTAAATAAGACTAATTATGTGAGGTGAACAGAATTGAACTTGAAAAGGAAGGCAAATATGGAGAAGAAGGGACCATTGGAGGGATACTTAGAGAAAAATGATAAAAACTCTCATTGCTTTTCTGTAGGAACTTTTGTAAAGTCACGATCGATTGATCATGAACAGATTGTGGCATGTCTAGATCACTCTGTACCATCCGATCACATACTGATCTTACCATAATCTCCATTGTTAACCAAACCTTCCAATTTTATAATCCCAAGGAATAGTAATCACCCCAGTGTTAAACTGGATGTTAGACAGGTCCGCTGACATCAAGCTTTCACTCTTTGACTTATGATCCCAACTTGAGCAGTAACGCTGTACTTTATTACGATCATGCTTGGTGGGAAGCTGAATGGCCTGGAGATCCACCATGGAGTCTGTCAATTGGATGACCCTGCATCAAAACACCACATTTAAAAAAACTACATTGTGTTGGCAGCCTCTAATTGAGCTGAAACATTCAATGGGAAGACAAAGAAAACGAATTAGTTACTTAAATATTAAAACAGGGGGGATGAGCACTGTTGTAACTAACACAATCTTACTGGACTCTAGGAAGATGTCCTGCACGAAGTTAACTTTAATTTGAGAACTAGAGAATGGGTAATGGGTAATAACTAAAAACTAGCTGAAGAAGGCAGAAAAAGTTCTCCGTACAAAGGGAAGAGATGATCTGAAGAATTGAGACTGAGATGGGATTGTATTCAACAAAGTCAGTATTTCTGAATCTTGGAAAAGGCAAAGAAGGGAAGTTTGACTACGTAAGATACAGTAGACTTTGTTTCCTCCTCTTCTAAAGAACACAGCTCTCCTTGTATAAATCGAATCCATTCACCCTTATAACTTCTCCCTTTCTGTCATCTTTGGGAAGCTTATCACCATTTCATCTTCTTCATCAGAATTTTAATATCTTTAATACACACTTCCCTAGACACCATGTCTCCCTCCTCTCCTCTTCATCACAGTTGGTGTCCCACATTTTGCTAAATCCAATGAACATATTTTGCTGTTTACCTAATTAACCCTTTCCGTAACATCTGACACTGCTCATGATCTTGTCTTTCTTGAAATAATTCCTTCCTTTGGCTTGCACAACACCATTCTCTGTTT